AAAAAAAAAAACCTGTAAAAGTAGCACTTCTCGTTTTTGACACAGTCACAGAAATTCATCGGAACATCGGGCAACGAAAAAGATCTTTCACTAAAAAGCTTGGCTTGAAATCATCGGCTCTCGTGGATTTAGGAGAACAGGAAAGCTCGTACTGGAATGCTGCAGGCTGCTGCTGGCTGAACTGGGAGCTGGGATGTGCCTGGGCTGGCGGCCCCGTCAGTCCGCGATCTTGGCCATCTGCTGCTCCAGCTTGGAGATGCGCTCGTCCTGGCTGGAGATCGTGTCCTTGATGGATTTCAGCTCCTTCAAAATCTCGTCCAATTTGGCGTCGTTTTGCTGGGAGATGAGAAAGGATGAGTGAGGAGAGCTCTGGGGTTTTCCAAGGAAAGGGCTCCTCCCAGTGGGATTGTTGGAGGGATGAGGGTGTGACAGACTCTGGAGCAGTTGGGTGCTCAGGGCATGGAGAAGCATCTCCAGCAGCACCAGTGCACCCATCCAGGACCAGCACCTGCTCTTTAAGCTATGCTTTCCTCTGTGTCCCAAAGGATAGGGATTAGTGGTGAACAAGGTGCTGGGTGTGGGAACCCAGGGCAAGGGGAATATCCCCCTGTCTGCCCTGGGGTGCTCTGACTCCCAGGAAAACACTGACTTTGACTCTCCTTCATGGACAAGACTTCCAGTTAGGGCTGGACTTGGGGATCTTGAAAGTCTTTTCCAACCTTAATGGTTCTGTGATTTAGAAAAAACAATTCCAAGTAATCTTCCGTATCTACAGAAGCACTAGGATCACAGAATCATGGAATACCCCAAGTTGGAAGGGACCTACAGGGATCATCGAGTCCAACTCTTGGCCCTGACCAGGACACCCCAACAATCCCACCCTGTCCCTGAGAGTTGTCCAAATGCTCCTGGGGCTCTGACAGCCTTGGGGCTGGGACATCCCCTGGGGAGCCTGGGCAGTGCCCCAGCACCCTCTGGGGGAAGAACCTTTCCTTGATATCCAACCTAACCTTCCCCTGACAGAACTCCAGCCATTCCCTCGGGTCCTGTCACTGGTCCCACCCTGGCATTCCCACCTGAGGCCATCACCCCCAAAATTCCTGGAGTTTACTCACGGGGTTTGAGGCATCCGCTGCTTTCTTTGGAGCGTTTATGAGATCACTCTTCTTGTTCCCGGCGGGTTTGTTGTCCAGTATGTTCTTCTTGACCACCTTGAGATCCCTGTTTTTGCCTGGAATGTACCCATGCTTCAAGGAGATGAGGAGAGGATCAGCATTCTTCCCCTCAAACCACTCCTCTGCTTCCAGAGCTGCCTCTGGGCCGGCTGTGTCCGGGTACAGGTCATCCTGGAAGAGGTCAGACTGCAAGGCAAGAGACATGGATCAGTCAGGAGCTTTGGGACAGGAGACATGGATCAGTCAGGAGCTTTGGGACAGGAGACATGGATCAGTCAGGAGCTTTGGGAGGCAGGAGCTGGCTCCCAAAGCCTGGCCCCAGCGCAGTGCTCACCTTGCGGGGAACCGTCATGATGATGGGCTCACACTTCCTCTCGTGGAGCTTGAAGAACCTGCCATGGAAAAGGGAAGGTGGGACAGGGAGTGAGGAGATGGGAAAGGAGCAACCCCAAGGAACCACAGAAATCCATCAAGCCCAACCATTCCCCCAGCACTGCCAAGGCCACCATAACCCACATCCCCAAGTGCCACATCCACACAGCTGTTGTTAAATCCCTCCTGGATGGGGACTCCAGCCCTGCCCTGGGCAGCCCCTTCTAATGCCTGACCCCCCTTTCCATGAAGAAATTTCTATTTTCCTAATATTTAAGGACATTTCCCCTTGTCCTATCACTTGTTTCCAGGGAGAAGATATGGCCCATGTTCCCAGCCAGCAGTGATGTTCCCTTCTGGAGCCACTGCAGCGACATCCCGAGATATTTCCTGCCCTTCCCAGGTTTTCTGAACCACGGCTGCCCTGTGCTCACTGCTCAGCTGCTTTAACCACTCCTGAAACTCCCAGCCCCAGCTCCCAGCCTGCTCCCAGCCCTGGGATGAGCTCTCCTCACCTGGCAATCTCACACTTGTTGACGTCGAGGCCCCTCTTTGGCATGAACCCCATGCCCCTCTGCGGCTCTTTGCTGCTGAAGGTGTTGAGGTAGTGAACGTACGGGGACTCATCCGTGATCTCGAAGTAGCGGATGCTGCTGTCACCCTGCAAGGAACCCCAGGAGAAGCTGCAGGACCTCCGTTCCCCTGTGCCCACACTGCTGCTTCCATTTCCTTCCAGGAATGCTGCCATGGACAGCTCACAGCTCTATCTGAAGCAAGGTTGATCCTCTCCACAATTTGAGTCCATCTACTGAACAATTCCTCCACGTCCTGCTCCAAACACTGTGGGACAGGGACTGAGCTCGTGCTTCCAGGCTGGGAGTGGCCCCTTCCTCACCTCTTGTGGAAAAACCTCCTGCCACAATCAGGCAGAAAGGCTATAAACCAGTTTATCCTTAATTCCAAGCAATTCCACCACTCTGGTGTCTCTGAAACTGCAGGAGGGGTGGTGGATAGAAACCAAATGCTCATCAGCTGCTACAAAGATGGGATTTCTGAACATACTCATATGGATCCTCCTTTGTAATTGCTCACCTTGGCTTTGGCTCCGATTTGTAGGAATCTATCACATGTTGGCACCAAATTCCTACAAGTTGCTTTTAGAAAGGAGCACCTAATTCCAGTTTTCTATTCTTTAACCCCATAAAATTACAGAGTCACCAAATGCTCCAGCAACTCCGAGCACAAGGAGGACAACACCCAAAATGTACCTTCCTCCCACACCACTGTAAAATCATCCAGGTCCACACCAGCAAGAAATGTTTTGGCAATGGTGTGGGACTTACTGCATTAGGAGCAGCTTTACCTAATCCATCTCAAAGAAACATCCAGGTCCTTCCCAGGTTCTGCAGAGTGAGGATCAAACCCATTTCAGAGCAGCCCCACATTTGCTGCAGCACTGATTTCTGGGGAACATTTCACAGGCACCACTCCCTCCAGGTGCCTCCAAAGCCTCTCCTTACCTTCCCACACAGGTAAATGATGTTGGTGTCTGGGTCGTAGAAGGGCAGCAGGACCCCGTTGCTGGTGTCCATCTCGTGAAGGGCTATTGGCTCCTCCATGTTTTTCTGGAAATAAAAATGCCAGGGATGTTAATAAAGACTGGAAAAACTTCTGTTCATAGAGTGAGGATCTAAATTATTAACACTCTGTAGGCAGTGAGCTCCCAGTGGTATCTGCACCACCCAGGAGGATCCATGTGTTACAACAAATGCTGGGAATGTTCATGAACTGATTCATTCCCCAAGGGCATTTTAATAACAAAATTAAATAAAAACAGGAGCCAGGAAAATTCACCAAGTCAAGGGAAATACGTGACACAGTGAGTTAGTGTCAGTAGGATGGGATATGTGATGGATGATGGGACAGAGCCTCCTTCCCTGGAGACACTCAAAAGCCACCTGGACACAATCCAGGTGGTCCTTTCCACCCTGAACCCTCTGGGATTGCTGCTGGCCTGCTTTCCACAGTGCACAGACAGAAGTGACCTTCCCACAGCCCCTCTGCTCCCTGTGCATCTTCCCAGGCACTTCCAACCTGCAGCTCCCAGCTGATCGCTGCTCCTGCTCAGCTCCTTCACTGAGTGACCACCCAGCCAGAATTATGGACGCAGGAGCAGGCAGCAGATGGATTTGGAATAACCTCAAGTATATAAATGATGAATTTAGGAAGGAATTCTTCCCTGTGAGGGTGGTGAAGCCCTAAAGAAGAAGGCCCCAGAGAAGCTGTGGCTGCTCCCTCCCTGGAAATGTCCATGGCCAGTTTGGACAGGGCTTGGAGCAACCTGGGATAATGGCAGGTGTCCCTGCCCACGGCCTGGAATGGGATTGGCTTTAACATCCCATCTAAGCCAAGCCATTCCACGATTCCATGGCTGCAGGGCTGGGTTGGTAGCTCCATGGCTGTGAGGAGCACACGGATTGGGGATGGTACCGGGTTCCACAGGGCCAGCTGCCGCTCGCTCATGCGGCTGAAGCCGGTGGTGAAGATGTTCCCGTCTGCCAGGAAAATGGCTCGCATGGGCCGGGCTCCCTCGTGGGTTTTCTCCTTCTCCTGGAACAGAGGAGCAGGTCAGGATTAGCAGTGAACAGAAAAACCCTTGGAGTGGTGGCTCCTCTCTGGACATGCCACTCCTCCATGCAGGAAGAGATCCAAGGAGCAACATCCAACTCTCCCCCCTGCTGCCTGAGGGAAGAACCCAACACTGAAGCACGGGAGAAGGGGACGTTCCTGGCTCATTCCAGCTTTGTCAATCAGCCTCTTGCAAGGCTGAAGGAAAACCTCTTTGTAAGCTACAACTAAAGCTTGGCTTTGCATGCACAACTCTGGAACTGTAATTATACAGAAGGATTAGATGTGGAATTACGCTCCTGCAGGTTTAAAACTGAGCCTTAAAATCCCAGTTCAAACACTAATCCCAATAAACCCAGACAAATCCTCCAACCCCTACTATTCCTCCTGTAATTTCTGAAGAAAGTGACTGAACAGGGTGTGTAAAATCCACATATTTCTTCCATATTTTCTTGCTCATTCCCTGCCGGAGTGAATCCAGTTGTTTCTTAAATGATTAAGCAAACTCACAGCAACAATTTCTTGTTTCCTGGGGTCGATAACTCGGACTTTTTTGTCTTTGGAAGCTGTGCAGATGAGGCTGCCGTTGCGATTCCAGCTCACGTTGTAGATCATGTCCACATGCATGTCATCCAGGTTGATGAGAGCTTCTCCTGTTCCCACATTCCAGATGATGATGGCATTATCACAGCCTGAAATGGAAAATGACAGCTCCAGTCACAGCACTGGGGTACACAGGGGCAAAGCCAGAGGTGGGGGACAAGGGATAAACCCCCTGCAGCTCCAAAGGTTTTTTGGGGAAACCAAAACCGAGATTGGGAGCTCAGGGGTGATTTTTATCAATGGAAAACACCCAGCTCATCCAAGGACTCACTTCTTTCCTTGGGAACAACCCATGGAAGTCTCAGATCATACCAAGGGATAATGAATTATCCAACTTATGTCCATAATGATGTGACTGATTTTCAGTGGTCAAAAGAATCTCATTCCATAGACTGTACCAGCCAAGGAGACAATTTGGAAAATGCTGACCATGAGAGTTTGTGGGAGGAACAGCTGGACTTTGGAATACTTTGCAGGGATCAAGGGAAAGCAGAAACACTTGGGCCTGTTCTAAAAGTATATGAGAGCAGGGATGTGGGGAATGCAGATGTAAATTGCTCTTGCAGATCAAATAAAGTCTGGAACAACTTTCATACTCCAATTCCAGACAATTCCTTGGTGCTTATCCCTGTAAGCTGAAGATAAAAAAGGCTGAAATAGAGAGGAGGCTGTGAGCCACGTGTCCCAGCGTTCCCAGCTACTGCCACGGGTCTTGTGATTCACAGGGATGTGAGCAGCTGGGAGAGGGAAGAAGGAAAAGCTGGAGAGGAAGGCGGGCAGGGAGAGGTGGCTCTTGCCCATCCCTGTGCTCCGTACCTGCGCTGAGCAGCACGTTCCGCGCCGTCGGATGCCAGGCCACGATGCCAACTCTCTTGGAATGGCCTTCTAGCACTACCACGGGCTCTGTCAGGGACAGGGTGAGCCCGTTCTCAGGAATCTGCCACACCTGGGAGGGAAAGGAAAGGTAAGGAAAGCTCCTCAGCCAAGGGCAGCCCCTCCAGAGAGCGCGTGGCCCGGCTGCTTCCCGTGTCCCGCAGCCGCCGGAGCTGGCACTTCTCCGTGTAAACGGGAAGGGAATCAGAGAGGGAATCACTCCCAGCTCTCAATAAAGCCTTGGCTGATCCATGAGGAACAGCCTTCCTCACTCATGTGCCAGCACACAGCCACAGCTCCTCATGGTGCAAACCATTTACTTCCATGTCCACAGATCCACTCTGCTCCTGCTCCCCAAGGAGTCTGGAAAATCTCTCCTGCAGCTCCAATTCCACAGGAACAAGCTGCTGTCTTTCCAAACTATGCCTGTCCCTCAGAGGGATGACGCTGCAGTTCTACCTGCCTACTTTTCATCACTTTAGGACCACCAGCAATTTGTTTTCCTGTTAGATTCAGGATCCTTTCAGATCCCATTTAATCAGGGAAGAGCGGTCTGGTCCTGGAAGAAGCCAGAGCAGCCCCAATGAGCACTGCCTGTTCACTCCTTGCCTGGTTACACAACCCTTCTGTTCAAACTTCCTCAGGGAAAGGCCACCAGGAGCAGGAACAGCCCCCCAAAGATGCCACAGCACTGGAATTCCAGCAGGAGGGAGGTGGTGGCTTTTGCAGCTGGCAGCAACACGGGATGGGACAGACAAACCCATCACCCCAAAGCCCCGGGGCAGGACCAGCCCCACCAAAACTATTCCTGCAATTCAGCACTGGACAATCATCTTGGAATTGAATTTGACCTACATAGAGTGTATTAAAAAATGACATGGAATTCCAGGGAGAGCTCCTCGGGGAGCAGTTGGAGTTGCTGTAGGTAGGTGGCAGCATTAGAGCACGTTTGCTTTGCTTCCCATTGTTTGCTTTTCCTGGAGTTGGGAGAACGGGGCTTGCCAGCCTCTGCCCACGATGCCCAACAAGCTGTGGGATGCGAGGGAGTGGATTTAGGAAGCGAGGCAGACTGAGATGGACACGTGGATGTCTGTGCTAATCCCAGTTTTTCCATTCTCAAAGGAATGACTGGCACTGGAAAAAGCCCAGCAGAGATTCTCAGTGGGTACCAGCTCACCTCTAAATAACCCAAAACCGATTTAGTTTTTTTTCATGGACACAGCTCCCAGTGCCATCCTTCCCAGTACCCTCAGCATCCCAGGAGGAATGACCACAACGGGAACACTTCCCCAGGAGAGGATTCCTCTGCAAGGGTGAAAATGGTCACAGCCCCAAGGCTGCCAGAGCTCCAGGAGTCTTTGGACAAGGCTCTCAGGCACAGGGTGGGATTGTTGGGGTGTCTGTGCAGGGCCAGGAGCAAACCAGGTTCACAGGGAAATTACAGAACTTTGGATGAAGGACTTACCCTGCCAAGGGGGAGGGCGCAGATCTGTTCTGCACCATCTCAGCCAGGAAGGATCCTGAGATCCCCCTGAGCAAGTGCAAAGGAGCCAGAAAACTCCAGAACCAAATTTAAACATTAGACAGCACATGCAGAGGGTGGGAAAGGGAAGGGAGGCAAAATCCCAGTGAAAAAGGGTTTTTTTTAAAAAGCCTCTGGAGGACAGATGGAATTTTCTGCAGGTAAAGCCCTGGTAGATGGGAACAGCTGCAGAGCAGTGCAGCCCTGGGCAGATTTCAACTGACCCAGTAATCCTGCCTGCTATTCCCCAAAATAATAAAGAATAAGTGTGAAAAGTCAGGGCATGGTCCCAACCGGCCCAGCCCCTCGTTCCTGCTCAGGGTGGGGGTCTGGCCTCAGCCTGGGATCAAATCAGGGAAATTACAGAATTTTGGATGCAGGACTTACCCTGCTGAGGGGGAGGACTCAGGATGACTCCAAGGAAACCTTAAAATGCTGCAGGATTGCCTGGGCTTTAGGAAGTGTTTGTCAGCTCTCCCTCCCGTGGGTGTCTGGGTGTTTTTTAGGGGGATTGATGTTATCAAGGCTGTTTGTTTGTGCAGGAGGAAGTGGAACCGTGGCACAGCTGAGGGAGAGGTTTGGGGCTGCAGGAAGGGCAGGAGGAGAAGGTTTTGCACAACAGCATGTGAAAAAGAAACAAAGCAAACTCTTCTTTCATCCCCTTTAAATAGAAGCAAAACCAGCCTCCTCTGCCTCTGCACAAGTTGAAAATAAGATTAAATCCATGTCTATAAAAAACATTACTTCCTACATCACATATATCAATTTTTATCACTCTAAGTAAGGAAGTACCTGAATTTGAGGCCTGGATTTATCCATGGCCCTGCTCCCATATCCCTGCAGGAAGAGGTTCACGGCACATCATTTTTGCAGGGTCAGACCTTCTCCTCATTCTCCCTGTCCTGGCTGGTGGCTCAGGTCACTGCAACGGCTCTCTTTGATTTTTAAAGGAATTTGCTCCATCACATGAGTTCTGCTCTGACCTTTCCACAAAATTCCTTAAAATCCACCTTGTGATGAAGAAAATTTTCCATATCTGAGGAAGGGCCTTGATACCATCTACAAATCTTTATCCACTAAAACATCTTCCAGCTGAAACAAAAGCCTGCAGTACATCAGAGCCACTCAGCACAACATCAAGCAGGAATATTTAAGTAATTCCTCATTTGCTGGCACAAGGAAACAATTCCTCCAAGGGAAGAGGCCACAGAAGGCATTTGCAAGGGCTCTAAAGGAAGCCTTTGGAGAAGGATGTCAGGTCCTCTCCTCTTTCCCAGTCTCCTCTCTAATGCTGTGTCTGGTATTCCCAACACCAAACCTATTTGAGGTTTATGGGCAGGTGTTGTAAAAATCTGGAATTTCTTTAGAGGAAAAGGATTCTGGCTTTGGATAGGGCCAAGTGAAGTTTTCTTGTGCCACAGGGGGGCTGCAGAGTGATAGCTGCAGGAAATCAGCCCTCTGCACCTGGTGACAGTGGTTTGTACCTCAAATTCTCTCCCTCAATAACATCCCAAATCCATTTTCTATCCCTCAATACCATCCCAAATTCACATTCTCTCCCTCACATCATCCCAAATCCACATCCTCTCCCTCAATACCATCCCAAATTCACATTCTCTCCCTCACATCATCCCAAATCCACATCCTCTCCCTCAATACCATCCCAAATCCACACTCTCTCCCTCAATACACGGTCTAGCTGACTTAGCTGAGATTTCTTATGGCAGAGGGTGAGATCCTAAATCCCTGAGTGCCAGGGCACAGATGGTGCCCTTCTTTAAGAACCAGGTCTTTTCTCCAGCAGCTGGAATTGCCACAGAATCCCCCACGTCACTTTTCCGTGTCTCCCCCCAGCAGAGCTCGGAGCCCATGAACAGCCACGTGTCCTGTAAAGCTCCCTGGGTTTATTCTGCTCAGGCTGCTCAGGAAGCAGGACCCAAACCCTTTGTCCAGGAAAACAGGACACTGAACTATCCATGCCAGGCCAGAAAAGCAATTAAAATTGGGAAAGCTCATTAGCTCATGCCCAAAAGTCCAAGGCAGGGGTGTTCTTCGCACAGCAGTGCAGTTCCCAACTGTCCCAAATGACTTGGGATCCATCATCTCCCATTCCAAACCTCCAGCTAACACACCCCCAGCATCTTCCAAACCCTGCACATCCCCGATCCTGGAAATACAGCAAGGACTCACCTATTTCCCCTTCCACTCCAGACAGGTCATAACAAACAACTATGAGGGGGCAAAACCCCCAGAGAGCTCCACCCTGCTCCACCCTGCTCCACCCCTGCAGGTCCCCCCTCCTTCCCACATGGGTGCTGCCTCCAGGGATGGATGGAAAGCTCATCCCCACCTTGGGATGGGTGGAGAACCCCCAGAGTCCAGTGGGAGGTGCAGATTCCTGCAGTTTGTGTCCACATAAAGATGGTGTGAGGGAGAGAGTGGACTTGGGCTCGTGTGAGAGAGAGAGCGTCCACACGGACAAAACGTAAAACAAAACTGTCAGGTTTTCTCCACAATTCAGTCCCTTTGGAGCCTTCCAACATATTTCTCATTGCACTTGGATTACAGACCTATTTTGCCTCCAAGGAGGCAGCTCTGGGCCTTCACTGATGCTCACATTTCAGAAACATTCCCAATGTGCAGCCCTTCTACATTCTGGTTGGAGAAACATTCCCGCATCCTTCCAAAGCTCAGTTCCAGCCCAGTAGTGAGAGTTGCTAGTTGTTTTGTTTAATATTAAATATAGCCCATTTTGTTAACATGTTTCAGCTTCCAAGACTGAAAGATCACAGGCTAGAGCTGTCCCAGGAAAAGCCTCTTGGGATGAATCCCCTCCCAAACATTTTAACGATGAACAGAAGCAAAGGAATTTATCTGACATGATCTATAATAAGATTTCAATATAACATTCAGCCTACAGCATTTCTAAATATGGCCAAAGATCCCTGGAGTTATTTGGCATTATTTCATCTTCCAAGGATTTTCTTTCACTTATTCTGCTGTGTTTGCATACACAGGATTCCACATCCGTCACAGAGCGAGCCCGGCTGGGCTATCACTGAGTTAAAACAGGTCTCAATCCAAGGCTAGCAGGTGCAGAATCTGGGAGATTATTTTTATTTATTTATTAAAAAAAAAAAAGACCTTTCTGACACCTGCTCAAAACTTAGGAGATACAGGGAAAATTTCAAGTGATTTCCTTAAATCAAGGGTTGAAAGAATCTTGGAGCCTGCTGGGCTCATTCCCTTCCAATCCCAACACACACTTCTACATCCACTGGGATATTTGAGGCAAGGAACCACCTGTCTTCTCAAAGCTCAACAAACCAGAACACCTCACCACAAACTGGCACTCATTCCTCTTCCAAAACATCAAACAAATGCCATGGGGAAGGAAAAATTGAAAAAAAAATCTTCCCTGTGAGAGTGGTGAGGCCCTGGCACAGGTTGTCCATCCGTGGCAGTGTCCAAGGCCAGGCTGGACAGGGCTTGGACCAGCCTGGTCTATGGAAGGTGTCCCTACCCATGGCAGGGGTTGAAATGGGATGAGCTTTAAGTCCCTTCCAACTCAAACCCTTCCACAACGACTCCGCCCTCACCTCACCCTGGAACAGAAGGTTCCTGGAGACACCTCCGGTGTCCTTTGGAGCAGAGTTCCAGCAGGGAGCAAAGCCCACCCCTCAAGGAACACTCACCATGACAGTGCAGTCCTCGGAGCCGCTGGCGATGACCTGGTCATTGTGGGGACACCAGTCGATGTCCAGCACCGGCCCCGTGTGGCCACACACTGTGGGGTAGGACTTGTCAATCCTGCCTGTCTGGAGGGAAGAAGGAGAAAGAGAGCTGTGATATCCTGAAGGAAAGGTGCTTCCCAACCCTCCGTTTGCTTTTTCATACCCACAATTCCATGAGATTTGAACTCATGGATCAGCAGAGGAACAGACCAGCAGCTCTTCTCCCCAGCATCAACGAGCTGGAAACTCCCCATGGAGCAAAGGAAAGGGATCAGAGATCCAGCACAGCAGGGTTGTGATCCCACATCTCAGCATCTTCTGCCACATCATCCCTTTTTCTACCCTAACTTTTGGGCATAGCAAAGCCTTGGTTTCATCTGTGCTCCCAACAGAGGTAGCTGAAGACAATCAAGCTAAAAATGCCATTGGAGGATGTTGCTGGTCACTGAATTTACCAGGTCTCCCTGGTTTCCTAAAACAGAAGGATTTTGCTTGGATGGGAAGATTTTAGGATGCAGTTGTGCAGAGGAAAATTGTTTGGAGGAATAAATGTTTCCAACATGGACTGTGACAGCCACACCTGCTCCACACCTGCCTCTCCATGGCCAGAGGACCGGGGCCACCAATGCCAAGCTCCCTACAGGGATAACACTTCCAAAAAAATGAGCCACTTAAACCTGAACTGGCACAAATCCAGTGATGCCAACCCAGCTGAAGCTGAGACACCAATTCTGCCCCTGCATCTACATTTTGCTGAGGAGCAGCAAATATTCTGAATACCCTGAAGTACCTGATCCACTCCAACAGCTGATTCCACAAAGAAGGAAAGGGAAAATCACTTTCATCATCCTTCTCTCTCTTGGCCAAGCCTTGCACACAAGGGAGCAATATTTACAATAGTGAAGATGCACAGCAGTAGCAGCAGGGTGAGGAGGAGACTCCTCCACTTCCACAGCCACACCCTTGGTCCTGCTCCATGGGGTTTTGTTTGGGGGATGACCTTTTCAAGATGAGTGATGGGAGAAGAGACACAGCAGGGAGAGGTCTGGGATGGGGTCGTCTTCTTTTGTGTTTAAACATGCAGAAGAAATGGTTGGAATGTCACTTGTGCCATTGGATGGGAACATTCCCCAACCTTGGAGGTGACATTCCTTAATTTATGCCTCCCACCCCGCTTCATGTGGGAGGCTGCTCCTATTCAAGGCTGATAACCAGAATAATGCTGGACATTGTCTCTTGAGGACAACTGACCTGGAGCCTTCCACAAACAGCAAAACAAGATATTGATCCCAAAAGATCCCACTAACTCCTAAAAGGCCAAATTTAGGCTTCAAAAGAAAAAAAAAAAAAAAAAACAAAACTCAGTGATTCAGCTGCTTTTGGAATTATTAAAGGGAGAAGAGTTGTAGATGAAAAGCCATAAACCTGCCATTCAAAAATTAAAGCCTGTGTAATCCCTCTTGGATGCCATAATGTGAAATAGGATTTAAAAAAATTAATACACCCAACTGCCATGTAGAATTCATCCATTTTAATTTACCCAATTAAAAGGAGAACCATGCAGAGCACACGAACTGCAGAAGGCACATGACAGGCCACAGACAAATACAGGCCTGAACCAAAAAGGAAAAATAGCAATAATAATGCAAAATGTCATGGACTGCCTGTTCTGGCTCCCTGGCAGGAATCAGTGGGATCCTCCAGGAGGAGCCCCTGGTAACTATTTCCAGGCTGCACAAACACTTGTCAGTTCAGTTTTGGGCCTTCACAGTCATTTATTACTGTGGGGAGGCCAAACCCAAATTTAATATGAGCAAATTAAACCCCAAACTTCACCTTTCACTTTTGATCACAATGAACCTGCACAGCCGAGCCTGTGACAGCAATGACACTCAGTGACACTGCTTCCCACCTCCTGTGACCTTAAACCAGGATCCTGCCCTTCCATAAGGAGCAGAGCTGCCAGAATCATGGAACGGGTTGGGTTGGAAAGACCTTAAAGATCATCCAGTCCCACTCTTTGCCACGGGCAGGGACACCTTCCACCATCCCAGGTTGCTCCAAACCCCATCCAACCTGGCCTTGGACACTTCCAGGGATCCAGGGGCAGCCACAGATTCTCTGGACAACCTGAACCAGGGCCTCCCCACCTTCATAGACAGGAATTTCTTCCCAGTATCCCACCTAAATCTACCCTCTTTTATTTTAAAGCCATTCCCCATGTCCTGTCCCTCCATCCCTTGTCCAAAGTCCCTCTCCAGCTCTCCTGGAGCCCCTTTAGGCACTTGGAGGGGCTCTGAGGTCTCCCTGGAGCCTACACCTCTCCTGGTGAACACTCCCAGTTCTCCCAGCCTGGCTCCTCAGAGCATCTCCATGGCCTCCTCTGGACTCTCTCCAACAGTTCTACGTCCTTCCTGGGCTGGGATTCCAGAGCTGCTGCAGGTGGGGTCTCACCTGAACAGGAGAGAGGGGCAGAATTCCCTGTGCATCACCTACACACATCCCCCTGTCCCTGCCTGCATCTGGAGAGTGACACCAAACCCCATTTCCAATGGGGAACAGCCAGGCAGGACAGGGAAAGAAGATGTTATTTAGCAGCAGTGTGGGAGAGGCAACAACCTCAAGCTCGTTTATCCACAAAGAATTACAAACCAAGGAAGAGAGGACGAAGCACAGCAGATGTCCCACACAGCAGCTCCCTGGGATCTGGCAGAGGAAGACAATCCCAGGGAGATGAAGAGCTCAGGAGCATCAACACCTTCACTTGGACATGAGAGGAGAGACTCTAGTGCTCACCAGACTCCAGGAACAATCCCAGAATCATTCAGGTTGGGAAGACCCCCAAGATCATCCAACCTGTGACCAACCCCCACCTCACCACCCGGCCCCGAGCGCCACGTCCGGTCCTTCCTCGGCCGCCTCTGGGGACGTACAAAAACGAGCAGCAGCCACCAAAACGAGACTAAATAAGGACATAAAGGTGCTGCTGGAGCCCCAACCCTTCGAGAGAAGCTCCTGCCTTGTGGTCAGAGGCACCAAACTGCCTCTGCAGAGCAGAGGAAACCGCGGTGTTTTCCTGAGCGCGTTCCGAGAGCTCGGCGCCGCATCCGCCCCGCGTCACCAACGCCTCCGGCAGAGACTCTGCCTTGGGGTCCCTGCCTTGTTGTCCCCCTCTGTGGGGACAGCACAGGACAGCCACCCACAGCACCACCCCAGGGCTGAGCCCTCACAGCAGCAGCGATGGGCAGCTTTCAGCTCAGGGATGTATTTTACCACCTCTCAGCGCTGCTTTGGCAAATTCCACCCATCAGATTCCCCCTCCCGGCAGCACTCGGCCCCCTGGAGCAGGGAACCCCAATTCCCAGCATTGGAAAAATCAGTATTTTAGGGGATTTGCCAAAAGGGAAAGCTGCAGTAGGGTTACAAGAACCACCAAATCCCACGGTTTTCAATACAATCCCTTTGCAACACCAGCAGAACACCACGAGGTTTGGCAGCGTTGTTGGCAGCTGGGTGTGTTTCCATGATACTCTAATGCTCCCAGGTTTGGGGATTTATTTATTTATTTGGAAAATGTAATCTTATAATTAGGAGAGGATTTAAAATAAATCTCAAGTGCTGATACGCAGCTTAAAATTAACTTTAAGAAATTCAATCCTTCTCGTAATCCACTAGGGCTGTGGTTTGACACATCCCTGATAACTTTCGAAATCTGGAGTTGTGTTTTATAAAATGTTGGTCAAAAAGGTGAATTTGAGAATTCTTAATAAAGTTGGTGTTGACTGAACACACACTCAATATTCAGGTGCTTCAGCAAGGGGCAAATTTGCCTTATTAAATTAATTTTAATTATGAAAATTAAATTTTAATGTATCCAATGTATTCCAGATCAGGAAAAAAAAAAGTTAAATCATCAGAAATATTAAACCCAGACCAGAAAGCAAGTGACAGATGAGAAGAAAAAATATGATTAAATCCAAAAGGGATGGATAAGCAACACAAGAAAACTGTTCCTAAAAGTGGGAGTTTTAGGAATTAATTTGAGTGTCTTGTGATCAGTTCTCTGCCAGAAAAGGGCATTTGGTGGCAGGAAACAGCTCATGGATTATGGTAAAAATATCAGGGAGAACAGCTGCTTCCCCAGCCCATGGTTGTGCTCCTTGAAATCTCCATGTAAATTAGGGAAGTGGCATCGAGTTGCACAAGCCAAAGCAGCTCCCCCCTCACACTGAACAAGTTTGAGGAAGGAAATCAGGTCACAACTGCAAAGTTTGAAGCCCCAACCGACTGCACCTTTTTTTCTGCTAGAGAAAATACTCCTCTTTTCTTTAAATTGTGGACTTTAAAAAACTCCTAAGTTTCATCTAGGGAATTTCTGAGCGCTGAGCCTCCATCTCTGGCTGCAGCAGCTGGGCCTGGAGGAGGCACCTGGGGGAAATCTGGGCTGAAATGGAAACTCCTGCCCATGCCCAGCAGCCACCAGTCACCCCACAGCCCAGTCCAGGCATCCAGAACTAATCAGGAAGATTAGGAAGTGTTATTCCCAAAAGAGCCACTGGAAAGTCAGGCAGTAAGAGGCCACTGTGCTCTCCAAGAATCTCCCAGCAGTGCTCCCGTTCTCGTTGTCACCTTGGCAGCTGCAGGGCTGTGACATTGGATATTGGGGAACATTTCTTCACTGGAAGGGTGGTGAAGCATGGAAGAGACTCCCCAGGGAAGTGGGGGAGTCACCATCCCTGGAAGTGTTAAAATACAAGCAATTGGGGCATTTTGTGATGTGGTTCACTTGGTCAAAGGTTGGACTTGATGAGCTTGGAGGTCTTTTCCAACCTCAAGGATTCCATGATTTTGTGATCCCATCCCAGGTTGCCACAGAATGGACACACATGCTGGCTTTAAAAAGGAAAAAAACAAAACAAAACAACACAAACAGTCCTCACAGCCAACCCTACCTGCAATTCCCATCACTAGGAGCTGGGAGTGCAGCACAGCTCCAGCATTTCCATGGATATCCATCCCAGAAATGACATTACAATTAAAAAGCACAGAGGCAGTGCTTTTTGCCCTCTCCAAAATATGATTTCCAAAGCAATTCATCCCTCTGTTCCTTCCCAACTGCAGGAAAGCCAATGGGTGTCCCAGAACTGAGGGCTCTGGATAAAGTGGAAAAACTTTGCTGCTGTTCAGAGGATGAGCATCCACCCAGAGAGAGCAGAGCTGCTGGCCAAGGAGACAGGGATCCATGGGGATCATCCCCACGAGCTGGGAACAGATGACCCAGGGCTCCACCAAGTACAACCTTCATTTTCATTGTTGGACAAAACCTTAAAATTGCAGAGATACTTGTACAAACCTCTGACTGTAAGACAGGGGATGGAATTTGCTGCTTTTTTCCCCTGGAGGAATGAGATCCATTAGCCCCTCTGCTGCCCTCTCTTCCCTGCTGCATTAGAACCTGATGATCCATTGGAATCAAACTGACAATGATAAATATAAACTTATTTTTAGAGATAAAAACCTAAGGTGAAATAAAAGGACAAAATCCATCACACTCCCCTTAAAATGGTAGGAAAGGCTTAATAAACCCATCACAGCAAAAACCTCCTGATTTTATTCTACACACAGTTCAGAAAAAGATTATTTTCTTTCCCTTAAATCCTTCCTGGTGGAATAAGAATTGGGAAGAGCTGCTTAACAACTCTCATATGCCATGGATGAACACCAAGGCCTGTCACTTGCAGAACAACATATTCCTTGGAGAAGATCATTCCCGAGGTGTGCACGCCCCCACCCACATGCTAATTGCCTCTCAGGGCACCATCTGATCCCAGATCCTGCAGGAATGCTGCTGGTGTGAAGGGGGTGCAGGAAGGGATCAGGAAAATGGAAAATCTAATAAAAGCTGTATCCAAAAGGGACTGAATAAACCTCTGGTAAATGCCTTATGTAACACAACTCGTGGCTGAATGAATCTTTCTGCATGAAGTCAAACAAAAAGGAACATTTGCAGCAGGTTTTTCTGCGCAGATAAAAACTGCAAAGAGTTTTTGAGGACACGAAAAAAGACATTTTTCTCCAGTTCTGATGGAGCACAGATCCAGCACCAGAACCACCCCCTGAATCCAGGTGTTTCCAAGTCATCCTTCCCAACATATCAGGAAACTCAGAGAATTTTTATCTGGTACCTCCCCTGTGTACCCAGAGCTTTCCCTGGGACAAGCCTCAGAGAAAACCAACTCTACAACCACAACCCAAAACAAGCAGGGAAGTTTCCAGCTCCTTCCCTGGTGAGCAGAGTTAATGCTGATTACCCTGGCTCTTATCACCTCCACAACCCCGACCGAGAGGAATTACAGCTTTTCCAAACTATGTGCCTCATACCAACACAGGCCAACCCCCCAGACCACGCAACCTGTGGGAATTAAGATTGTCTGATGCTCAGCAGCTCCTGCCGGAGCATGGGAATGGCGAGTCCCTGGCAGAGCCCCTGCACATGTGCGTGCAGGAAAACAGGAAATTCGGACAAAGCATTTCCACAGCCAGCAAAGCCGGCTCGGCTGCGCTGGCTGCGGCTACTCCGGGAGCTGCGGGGATGGAAAAGAGGATGCAGCCCCTGCGTCTCCCACTTGGAGTTAATCCATTCCCGCGCACACGGGTTAATGAAATCCCGCACACACGGGTTAATTCCCACGCAAATGGGTTAATTAATGAAATCCCGCGCACACGGGTTAATGAATTCATTCCCGCGCACACGGGTTAATTAATGAATTTCTGTGCACACGGGTTAATTCCCATGCACACGGGTTAATGAAATCCCGCGCACAAGGGTTAGTTAATTCATTCCCGCGCACACGGGTTAAATCCCGCACACACGGGTTAATTAATGAAACCCTGCGCACACGGGTTAATTAATGAATTTCCGCGCACACGGGCTAGTTAATTCATTCCCACGCACACGGGTTAATTCCCGCGCACACGGGTTAATAAATGAATTCCCGCGCTCACGGGTTAATTCCCGCGCACACGGGTTAATAAATGAATTCCCGCGCTCACGGGTTAATTCCCGCGCACTTGCCGCGCCGCGCCCCCGCCCCCGCCAATCAGCGCGGCGGCCGCGAGCGCTGCCATGACCATATAAGGTAAAAAGCCGCGGCCGCCGCAGTGCCGCTGCGGCGGGCGCGGGCGCGCGCGCGCGGAGGGGCGGGGCTTGCGCGGAGGGGCGGGGCTTGTCCGTCCCTCCCGCGTCCGTCCGTCCGTCCGTCCATCCCCTCCCGACACGCGGGGAGCGGGGTCTCGGGGGGCTCGTCCCGCCCCAAAAACACCCCCCAGACCTCCCGCCCAGCGCCGGGAGCCACCAGCCCCGGCAGTGACAAACCCCAGGCACAACAAAACGCTGTGATACCACTGAAAATTGGCAAGAAAAGCACATTAAAACGAGTGAAATCTCCCCTTTTCTGTGCTCGCCCCGCAGCAAGGGTCAGACACATCCCAGGTAATTCCCAGCGAGCAGCAGACCGCTGGGTTTGAGCAGCCACGATGTCGTTATGGGACATTTCCCCTGAAAAAATGCAGCAAGTGTATTTTTATGGCTCAATTTTAAAATCAGCCCAAACCCATGGTTGAAAATGGATTTTTTTTTCCTTGACTATAACAACAAAGATTTTGCTGCGGGGAGCTTAACAAGTATCTGTACTAAACAGGCTCAAAAAGAAATCCAAATGTTATTTAGGGTGTTGAAGGAACTAAAGGAACAATTTCATCAGCCCAGGCTATAAAAATAATGCGGAACACAGGAACTGGTTAAAGCAGAGCCAGCAAAGCACTGCATTGCAAAAGAACGTGTCAGGCTGGGGGTGAGGGCCACAGCTCCTCCAGCTTCCCATGGAACCTCTTCAGATGTGAATATTAAATGCCTGTGGAAGGCAGGAATGGAGCTGAGGGCACCAAGGCAGTGATAAATACGAGAGTGGGAGGAAGAACAGAATGGATGTGAACATAATGCCAAAGATGGCACTTCAAAATGCAAAAGGGCACTCAGAATTGGCAGGAATTTCTGCCAGGGACTGAGAAAACACAGAATCATAGAATCATTAACGTTGGAAAAGCCCTCTGAGACCACTGAGTCCAACTGTTCCCCCAGCACTGCCAAGGCCATCATGTCCCCAAGTGCCACATCCACAAGGCTTTTAAATCTCTCCAGGGATGGGGACTCCATCACTGCTCAGGGCAGCCTCTTCCAATGCCTGACAACCCTTTCCATGAAGAAATTTTCCACAATATCCATTCTAAACCTCCCTTTGCACAACTTGAGGCCGTTCCATCTGTGTCTGTCCCTCGTTCCCTGGAGCAAAGCCTGACCCCCCCAGCTGCCCCCTCCTGTCAGGGAGTTGTGGAGAACCAGAGGGTCCCGCTGAGCCTCCTTCTCCTCAGGCTGAGCCCCCAATCTCCCTCATCTGATCTGTGCTCCAAACATTGGGATTTAAGCGAGGAAAAGAGGGATGCACATCCCCAGCTGTCGGCATCTGCGCCGTGATGAAGCTGAACGAGGAATTCCTAATCCAGGGCCGTGCCACCACGCGTGGCCCAGACAGGAGGAGGACACGTGGCCTGAGGATGAGCCCTAAGCAGGGAAGGGCTGCTCATCAGAGCAGCAAACTGAGCTATTTTGGGAGGTTGGGGTTTGGCTTTGCTTAACACGATGGAGATGTCGCTGCCTCCGCTATGCCCTGGCCGGGTGGGAAGTTGTGCTGAATCCTGGGCACTAATTCTGTATTCCACAGGGCAGATCTGGAAGTGGAGCTGGGAAAGCAGCTCAGGGCTGATGACAGACTGAGGACAACTTAACCACAGGCTTAAGAGAGGAGTTTGAGGGTCATGGAGAAAAGAATGTTGCAAAAAAGTCTTTTGATCACAGGAATTTGCTGGTTAAGCATTACCGAAAGAGATGAGAAGAATCTCCTCCAGAAGATGGATGTGACTTTTCCATGCAGGACCAGGGGGAAACAAGAATGCCTTTCTTGGAACCAGCTCATTCCTTTGCACCCCTCCAATGTGGGGCTGCAAGGAGCAATTGGGCTCAGGTGCGTTCCTGGATTGAATCTGCAAGGAGCAGTTGGGCTCAGATGCATTCCTGAATGAATTCTGCATGGAGCAACTGGATTCAGATAGTTCCTGGTTTAACTCTCAAGGAGCACTTGGGCTTAGGTGGTTCCTGGTTTAACTCTGCAAGGAGCAGTTTGATTCAGGTGGTTCAAAAATAAAAAGCTGAATCCCTGACAGTAGAAAAACCAGACTTGATCATAGACAGGCTTCCAAAATACGATTCTACGTGGAAAATTCTGCCAGAATCAGCTCAGATGAGTCAAGCAAACAGCTTGTTTGTTGTGTTTAATGTACAGAAAGCATCAGACTGATTACAGACATTAAACACATTCATCCACGGCACCACTGAGCAGCCGTTGTCACCACAGCCCTTCATTATTCCCAAAGAAACGCCGGGATGACAGCACAGGTAACTCCAGAAACATCCCAGCAGCACTTACCTTGTGCAGAGGCAGCACCAGGAAGGCTCCTCCACCACTGGCATCCACGATGATGGCCACGAAGCGGGGGTTGACGGCGCAGAAGGAGCTGTCCCAGGTGACGCGGGACACGCGGATGTCGTCGTAGCACTGGTCGTTCTTCACCGCCTGGCCGAAGACGTGCCGGAATTTGCTCTGTCGTACCACCCGCCTCATGGTGTCTGCACAGGGATGCAAAAGGAGAGGGTCAGTTCCAGGGAAAGGATGTCCTGATTGTCCAGGAGATTCCTGGAGATCAACACTGGATGTTCTCATTGGCTTCAGGGCCGCGCTTTCAGCAATGCGGGAACGCAACCTCGCTCGCTCTTTGTAGAGTCGTGGAATGGTTTGGGTTGGAAGAATCCCAAATTGGGTTGGGTGGGAAGGGATCTCTGGAGATCACCCAGTCCAGCCCCCTTCCACGACAGGGTCACCCAGAGCAGGTGACACAGGAATGCATCCAGGTGGGTTTGGGATTTCTCCAGACAGAGAGACTCCAACCCCCTCCCTGGGCAGTTCCAGTGCTTGGCCACCCTCCATGAGAAGTTCCTCCTCATGTGAAATTCCACATGGTTTAGTTTATGGCCATTGCTCCTCAACCTGTTGTTGGGCACTGCTGGAAATAGTCTGGCACCATCCTCTTGGCACCAAAGACCTTCAAATTTATCCCATTCCACTCCCTGCCGTGGGCAGGAACACCCTCCACTATCCCAGGTTGTTCCGAGCCCCATCCAACCTGGCCTTGGACACTTCCACATCCACCTTAAGACCTGCCAAATTCTCAACCAGCTTTGCCTTTTCCTTCTTATATTAACTAAAATTCCAGGTTGTTTTGCACCCAGCCCAACCCAACTGCATTTCCAGGGGGTTTTTACAGAATTTGCCAGTAAAGCATTAATTTCCCCGCTGTAAATGTGTTCCCTGACTGCAGTAAAGGAAGTTCCTAATCCCAAAAGTAGTTTTTAGACAAGTCTCCACATATTTTCAGGGATAAATCTAGTCTTGAATTGAACTTGTTTACTTTCAAGTCAGACAGGGTCCAGAAGATGTAAATAAAAATGCAAGCTCTCAAAATCCTGTGTTCCTGTGAAGTGGTTCCACATGTTCCCTAGCTTCCAGTTCTTTCTTCTAACTCCAAAATCACCCTAAAAAAATGAGTTTCCTAGGCAGAAAGGAGTAATGGAAACAAGTTAATGACTCCAATTAACTTGGTGCGTCTGTAGCATTTCTTGAGAAAAATTATTTTTAAGAACGCTGGAGTTAGAATAGAGGGAAAAGGAACTGGTGTGGAAAATTCCAGCACCTGACACAACACCAACCCTGGATGAGGGATACAACCTATGGAGGCCTCTCATCTGGGAAGGGCTTCTCTCATCATCCCAGACTTTGTCCCTCAGAGAAGAGGGAGCAGAAGAGGAGCCTCCATACAGCATCTTGCTTTTACATATGGGAAAAATATTTCTGTGCCAGTCTCTAGGGATAGCAAAAAAAAAAAAAGGGAAAAAATAAAAATAAAAATAAGCAGAGTCCACCTCCTATCTCTCCTCCCAGAGGGTCCCCAAGCACATGGAGAGGCTGGGAAAAACCGCTCAGCCCCGGGAGCTCCTCGCGCCAGCAGGATGCTCCGGAGTGAGAGACTGGGAATGTGGCTCTATCCCGAATTCCTGCTCCCAGGCTGGCTGCTGCAAACGTGATGAAAGCTCAGAGAGCTGTCTGCGACTGCAAAGGCTTCGCAGGGAAGTTGAACGGCTGTTTTGTAGTCTGGGAGGTGAAATAAAAAATTAACCACGACAAAAAGCGGGATTAACTGCAGGGAAGCGAGAGCCGGGAAATGCCACGGAACGTGTTTGAAGAGGAGGAAAATGTTCCAATTAACGAAACAGCTCTGCAGTGAAACTCTCCAGTTCTGCAGAGATAAGGGAGAAGGAGCAGAGGGTTTGTTTTCCAGCAGAGCCCATTTGGGAGCTGGCTCTCTGGTCACTTCCACAGCTGCTGGGACAGGGATGTACCAGTGCCACTGGAGCCACCAGTGTGCCCAGTAAAGGCAGATTTGGGGTCAGTTTTGTGATGGGGACACCTGTCCCAAGTGTGGGGTGGAGGCCATCAAACACCTTCATGCTCCATGGTCATTCCCAGCCACAGACAGCAGGTAGGGGTTCCCCACAGTACCTTTTTCATACTGATATTTTAAAGAGAATTAAGAATGTTTAAGAAAAAAATAGGTTTTAAGTGCAAAATTTTGGGAAGAACTGAGGTGTTTTAAGATGTCCACAGAATGGAAATTGTTAATGATTTCTGTCCTATTGAAGCTGAACTTAGGCTCCCTCCCTACTTCCATCAGTTACTGGAATTGTGTAATGAACTTTCTGCCAACTCTTTCCCTCAGAGCACAAATCAGAGGCCTGTTCCATGCTGGACACGCCCCGGAACACCGGAGTGTGATGGGAAGTCATAAACCAGGAACTGCTCTCCAGCTCCAGCCAGCAGGTGAGAGCACTAAATAAAATCATGGAATGGTTTGGGTTGGAAGGGACCTTAAAACTCATCCAGTTCCACCCCCTGCCATGGGCAGGGACACCTTGCACAACTCCTATCCAGCCTGGCCTTGGACACTTCCAGCACGATCCCAGCCTCACCAAATCATGCACAAAGAAAAGGGGAATTTCAACTCCAAGATGCCCAAATGACAAGAAACGCTGAAGTCTCAAGGTTCATAAAAAATGCATTTCCACGCCCAGTTACTGATTTGTGTCAACTCATTCCAAGCCCTGTCACACAATTCCATCCCCAGGGCTCCTCCCAGAGCTGGGAAGGCTCAGCTGAACCTGAGTCCATGGTCAGGTCTGGCAGTGAGCACCATGCAAGAGCAGCATCACCCCCATCTTCCCACCATTCCAGGTGACCCCAGTCCACCCCCAGGATATTGGGAATGTTCTCCCAAGCCCAGTGTGACACCACTGGAGCTCGTGCCCAGCTCAGCCCTTTCACACCCCCTGCAGCAAACTCTTTTCATCATCTGCCTGCACAACTCATCCAGGAGCAGGGAAAAGGCTCCTGCTTTGTGCACGGTGGATTTCCAGGAGTGTTCGCCCCCTGGCAACATTCCCACCCTGCTGTGAATCCAGATTAAAATCAGATTGTTGGGAAGAAGGTAAAGCAAAGGTTTGAACTTGTCGTGCTGAGCCAGCACAGCAAATTGCCTGGAATCATATCCCACAGAGCCAGGGGGCTGGGAATGTGGCTGCTCCACTGCTGGCAATTCAGGTGTGATGGTTACAAAGGATTATTTGTATCACATGGATAATTGTATTGCTTCTTCACTTAATCAATACCAGAACAGCAGGAAAAAATGTTCATTTCTAATATCAGGTATATGCTGGAGATCTGTCAGCCCTTCCACTTTCACAGAAGAGAAACTCCCTTTACCCCATGGTGAAATCCAACTACTTTATTCCACTCATTTTCACCCTTTGATGCAAAGGGTAATCATTCCATTTTCTATAAATGACTTTTTAAAAATGCAGAGAGTTCAGATGCCTCCAAAAATATCCTTATTTGTTCCAAAGGGATCTGTTGGAACACACCTTCCCTGCCCTCTTCCCCACCTACAGCTCATCATCCTTAGCAGGAACTCTCTGATCAACACATGGTGAGCAGCCTCCAAGTGCTCATTTCCATAGCAAAGGGAGTGATTCTTGGCGTTGGATCAGAGCCATTTTGATCGGGCAGCTCTCCAAGGAGAAGGAGGGGGGAATGTGCTGGTGGTGGTTGGAAGGAGCAGCGACTGCGGCTCTTTCAGCTCACCAGGGAGAGCAGGTGAAAAACCCAACGGGGCGAGGGGGAGCCTGAGCACCCCAAAAAGAGTCCTAAGCCCTGCCACAGACTGTCCCTAAATGGGAGGAGTGTTTAGTCTCCTCTTTGCTTCTCAGTCCTGCCGTGCAAAGGATGCACTCCCTCCTCCTCTTCCTCCTCATCCATCTCCAAGAAAATCCACAGCTCAGTTTGGTTTCTGCAGGTTCTCTCAACAGAGTCACGGGCAGGAGCTCCAGGCTTGGCAAATTCATGGAATGGTTTGGAAGGAACCCAAAAGGTCATCCAGTTCCACCCCCTGCCATGGGCAGGGACACCTCCCAGCCTGGCCTTGGACACTCCAGGGATCCAGGGGCAGGCACAGCTTCTCTGGGAAAACTGTGTAAGGGCCTCCCTACCCTCACAGACAGGAATTTCTGCCCAGTATCCCATCTAAATCTACCCTCTTTTGTCTTAAAGCTATTTTCCCACGTCCTGTCATTCCATCCTTTACCCAAAGTCCCTCTCCAGCTCTCCTGGAGCCCCTTTAGGCACTGGAAGGGCTCTGAGCTCTCCCTGGAGCCTTCTCTTCTCCAGGTGAGCACCCCAGCTCCCCCAGCCTGCCTCCAGAGCAGAGGGGCTCCAGCCCTCAGAGCAACTCCACGGCCTCCTCTGGACCTGCTCTAACAGGTCCATGTCTTTTTTGTGCCACTTTCAGGATTATCAGGTGAGACACCAACACCTGAGGTGATTCACCCTAAGGAAAGGCTGATTCAGCCTCTATCACACTTGCAAAAGGATGACCTGAGCAGTTCAGGGAACCTTGGAAAGTGACTTTGGAAATACCCAAGTGGCTAAGGAAGTGTATCCATGGCTAACGGGGCTGTGCTGGGGATTTTCTCTAAGGAAGTGGACTTGGAACATGAGTATTAAAAAAAGTTCATTAGATCATTATCTATGCTGTTAAACCTTGGCTAAGGAACCATCTCCCTATCCACTTGCTAGACAGAATATATTTTTGGGGGGTAAAGTGCAAAATTAGAGGATTTAAAACCTCCTGACTGGGAGCTGAAAGGCCTTTAAATTTTGCCAGAGTTACAACCCTCAGCAAAATTAAACCAGAAGCATTGGACACCCTGCAAAGGCCTCCACAATAGAAGTGCTGACAGATCTACGGCCGCTGAGCTCCTGGATCCCGCTCGGCCACACACGGCATCTTGGTGGGGACAGAGGAACAAGCCTTCAAACTTCTTATTTATTCCCTCCCTGAGTGACTGCCAGCTGAATTTTACCAAAACTTTGGGTTCATCTGCCAGTCAGTGCCCTGTGAACAGCCCAGCCCTTGTGGCAGCTTTTAAAGGACCCTGGGAAGGCTGGATGCCGCCGGCCGCGC